ATAAAGCTTGAAGGGACTCTCAGATATTTTTAGCCCAATCTCTGCCTGCAGGCAGGATGAACTCTGCCTGTCGTTCCTGACGTGCTTGTCCAATGTGTTTTAAAAAGCCTCTAACAATGGGGATTTCACAATTCTTCCAGGCAGTTTATTTCAGTTTCACCCTCTGCCCTCTTAGACTTTTTTCTGCTGTCCAAGCAGTATTTTCTTTGCTGTAATTTAAGCCTGTTACTCCTTGTCCTGTCTGAAGTGGGCTCAGAGAAGAGCCCTTACAGGCAGCTTTTATATGGCTGGAGGTTCACTTCTTCCCTTTTGTCTTCCCTTTATTTAAACAAACCCAACCCCTTCAATCTTTCTTCATGGCCACCTCATTTAACAGGGCCATCAGGGTGTTCCAGAATGACTTCAGACTCTATTTTCTTGGCTGATAATGTGACATAGAGACATGAGAAATTAGTGGCAGTGCAAAAGGAGGGAGAGGTGGAAGCAGGAGCTGTAATCCTGTGTTTCGGGAGAGAGGGACAGTGAGCCTGGGGCTGGCAATCTCCCAGGAACCAGTGGAGAGCTGAGAGGGGAACTGCTGTGGAGGAGATATCAGACCCTCCTGGGGCACAGCATCATCTTAGAAGGAGGAAAGTCCCTGAGGGACTGGGCAGGAAAGGAAGAGGGGGGGACACTGGCTGGGAAGGGGGCTGCAAACGTCACCCGGCTGGCTTTCATGCAACCCGGGGAGTGCAGCAGTCAGGCACCCCAGAGATAGGATGTGGCATCTGGCGGTGTGGTTCAGGGGAAACAGGAGCTGGGACCAAACACCAGGAGCCTGAGCGTGCCCTGACCCCAGCCCGGGCCGTGCACCGCCCGGCTGGGCGAGGGGGAGCCTGGAGCTGGGTGCTCAGCACCCACCGTGCTGCTGTGCTGGGCTGGGCAGTTTCTGTAACACACCTTGGCGAGGGGCTGTGTGCCCACGGCTGGGTCCTGCTCTGGCAGAAGCGTTCCTCTCCCTGCTCGGCCGTCCCACAGCATCCCAGGAGAGCTGCTTTTCCTCCTCCTTAGCGTTTTTGTTCTGGTTATTGGTTTGTTTCATTGTGTAAGTCAGGGTGGTGGTGGGTTTTGTTGTTTTTTAAGTGTGTGTGGGGTTTTTTTTTTTTTTTTGAAACTAATTCCAGTTTGCTTTATGGGCGCTTTTTTTTTTTTTTTTTTCCCCTAGTATTTTAATGCAATTCCCAGTGCTGCACTTGTTTCCCACAGAGCTCCCAGCAGTGTCTCCAGGACAACCCCCTTGCATCCCAGCCAGGGTGTGCTGGGGGTCCCACAGACCCACGTTTGCTTCCATCCAGTCCCAAAGCACTCGTCACGCAGCAAATATCTTCCCCCCCCAATCCGAGGTCAGTCCTTGGTGGCACGAGTGGGGCTGAGCCTCCTGCCCTGGTGACTCAGAGCAGGGGAGACGCTGGCGCTTGCCCTCGGCTGGCACAGGGTGACACTGCCCGGGGCACAGGTGGCAGCAAGCGCTTTGTCCATCATTTCTGCACTGGGGGGGAGCAGATCTGACTGTTTGCCACAGAAACGTGCAGGGGGGTGCTGGAAAAGAGCAGTGCCCTGGCTGGGAGCTTGGGCTGACCCACTGGGACCGGGGTCCAACTTTTCCTCACTAAACCTTCTGATACCTGGCGGCATCCTCTGGCTCTGTGCCTGGTAAAGCTGTTGTTTATTTGCAGCGGAGGTGGCTGCAGCCTCTGGGTCGTTGCAGCAGCGCAGCCCCAAGGGGCTTTGCCTTTGCAATCCCATTTTGCAACCCTGCCTCCTGACTCTTCCAGCCTCATCCAGCTGCGCAGGGCAGGGGGGCAAATGGCAGGGGAGGGCCTGAGGGGCTGCAAAACCGCAGCAGAGCAACAGGTCCCTTCCCAGCACGGGCATCGCTGCCACCGTCGGATGCCCCAGCTCACTTCCTCGGGGGCCACTGGGACCTCGCCGCCTCGGCACTGGGTGACCAGCTCGGCTGCAACGTGGGAGCAGGGTCTAGGCTGGAGACACAGCGTTGGGGCTGAGCAGGTGAACGTGTCCTTTCCTGGAGGCGATGTTTCTGAAGGCTGCAGAGGTGGAGACTGAAATACAGGTGAGAGGGGCGAGGTCGCTGGGCCAAAGTCTTTGTTGGAAGGAATTACCTCTGGCTTGTTTTATCAATCCCGGGTGAGAGTTGGCTACTGACTGCTAGCTAAAAGTGGGGTTGGTTCTCAGATTTTCAATTAAAATTGGGTCTACTACTATGCAAAATGATGGACATGATCGTTTTGAAGGCCAAATGTGTTTTACGCTCCCAGCTGGCAGCTGAAGCATCTCGGGCAGACGCAGCCCCCGCTCCCGGCACCCCGGGCGGTTGCAGCCCCTGGTAGCGGAGCTGGGGGGGAGCCCCGCTGCGGGCAGGGGGAGCGCGGGGCACAGCTGGGGCGCTGATGGGCTGAGGCCGCGTTCGTCCCCTTCCCCCCCCGGTGACAGTTTGATCCCTCGCTGCGGAGCTGGGCCAGTTCCCAGCCCGGCGCTGTCGGGGGGTATCGTCCCCCACTGCAGCGTCGTGGTGGCAGAAACTCCGGAGGGAGGATACACCGGGTGGTGAGGAGGGAGAAAAAAACTGCTGGTGGTTTTGAGCCGAGCCCAGCGCTCGGGAGCCGTGCACGGCTCTTGCGTGACCCCTGGTGTCGGCGCTGCTGGAGGCAGCCAGGCCTGGGCGCACGGTGAGGGGCGCTGCCGGCCCGGCAGTGGGTGTGCGCTGGGGCTCGCTGTGCTGCTCTACATCCACACCCACGGATATCTCCCATTTCTCTGCCCCACATTTACATTTAGGGGCTGATTACATGTAAAAATGAAATGCTGCTATGTAGGAGAAACACAACTGTCATACTTGGGTGTTGTGACGAGTTATATTTATTAAGTCCCACTTTAAGGCTTCTTTTTGCACTGATCAGACTCGCTGTGGACTACAGTTGCCAGGCATGCTGTGGGTATGGATGCTTGTTTATTCTGCTTCTGGATAATTTTTTTAGGTGGCTGGGCAACCATAATAGAGAGTTTAAAGAGTCTCAAAGATTCTTAGATTCTCATAGATGCCCAAGAGCCACCCGGCAAAGGGGACGCCTCAGGGATGGGCTGGTTTTACCCCTGGGTGCGGGTCCTGGTGTTCAGGAGGTCTCTGAGGCTCCAGGAGCGATGCGGAGCCGCGGCTGCGTTGCAGCCCGGGTCTCTGAAGCCATCGCAGCCTCCCCCAGCAAGCAGTGCTTGCACCTCTAGGAAGAAGTGACACCCTGGTGTCGCTGCCACTAATCGGAAACCTGGTCTTTGCACAGCGTGCAGATGTGTTCGTTTTGCATTGCCTGCGCGTAGGGAAGAGGATGAGCAGGAAAAGCTGGTCCTGGGTGCTGAGCCCAGGCTGGAGCAGCTTTTCCCAGGCAGTGCCTGAGCAGCTCAGTGCTGGGAAAAGAGCTGCACCACACGGAGCGTCAAGCAGGTGGCTGAAAGTATCCAGCCATCCCCAGCTCAGTCTGGAACCAAGGATAAACTGGCTGTGACAGGAGCCAGCCCCTCCTTCCCCTCTCCCTCCCTCCTTGCCCTCTCCCTCCCTCCCTCCATCCCCTCTCCCTGCTCTGTTTCTCCTCAGGAGCCGCAGGCCCCGTTAACCTCTGCAGCACCCGGCCTGGGCGCTGCCGCGGGCTGTTCCTGGTGGCCGTGTCTCTGGGTTTGGTGCCATGGGCCAGGTCTGCACCTGCCTGGAGGGTGTTAAAAGCTGCTTTGATTCAGTTGGGTCTGAGTTCTGGGGCTGCACAGGGTGTGGGGGGAGTGTGTATGTGTGCGTGCATATAAAGCTCTGTTTCTCTGTAAATATGTATCTGTAACTATATAGCAATGCATAGTTTTACAGATAGTTACATGCATATTGAAAAGTTATAGCTATCACTATAATCCCCATTACAGACCTAAAATAGTTTATTTTATATACTTATGTAGCTGAAATACTGAAGTACTGAAATACTACTATGCTACATTAAAAATAATTTTTAAATATTATACATACAATACACATATTGTGTATGCTAGGAATAGCTCACTGAATGTGAAAAACTGTTGTTAGCTGGAATAGTGTATATAAAAAACAGACCTACCTCCTAAAGCACGGCTTATATATATTAGTTGTGATGTGCTTTATATTAAAAAAAAATAATAGAAAGCTGCTAAATCTACACCTTATATACAAGCACAAACCACATTACGCAGGTGCAGTGTGTGGTTAGAGGGGCTTTTATTTCATAGTGGGACTTGGTACCCGATGCAGTTTAGTTCCTGTGTGCCCAGGGCTCAGGGCACCACTCATGATGGGGCACAGCCCCAGGAATTTATCTTTTTTTTCCTTTCCTGCAGTCATGGGGGCACACGACACTGCTGAGCACAGCCAATTATACAAATATATATTGTGTGTAATACATAATATCTATCTTATAAAATCCAGGCATCTTCTACCAATGAAATCTAGTTTATATATACAAATATAAAATTCTTAAACCTATACTGCTAAAACTTCTTTCTCACACCACGAGTGTCTGTGTGTCTCACTGTTCTTACTCTCTTCTGTTCTCTCCCAATCTCTCACCCACTCTCTCTACCTCGCTGCTGTAATCTCTTCCAAACTAGCATGTCAATACTTACCGCTCGCTCGAATTACCTAAAAACTTTTTACACAGTGAATACCGCTCCAAGCTCCACTCTGCCAACCACCCACCCACAGGTGGTGGGTGGAGGTGCTCAACTTGCTCTGGGGTCCAGCAGCAGCTGGGGGGGGGGCGCAGAGGGCTGAGGGGCCAGGGCCCATTCACACCCCCAGTTACCTGGGGCCCTGTGCTGGACACCACGGCCACGCACAGCCCAGCACTAGTGGGGAGAAAAATACAAATCTAACCCCTGTCCTTCCCCAAAGACCTCGCCCATGCTCTGATACACCAAAGCAAGCACACATGTCAGAGAAGAAAAATTTAAAAGTTTATTAAACATTAAGAATAACAGACAAAAAAAAAAAAAAAAAGATTTGGGCTAAACAGCATACAGGATGCAATCCATTTCATGTCATACAGTTAATTTGATCTTATTTGTTAAACTTGTATTTAAACAGATGCTGTCTTGTGGTGTTGCCAGAAATACAATGGTTGATCACTTGTAAGTTTTAATACATTTTTTTTTTCTTCACATAAAAAAAGTCAAAATAAAAATAAACTGCACAGCTCTATTGTAAATTACATGCAAAAATAGTTTTAAAGCAATAATTGGGGTTATTACAAACCCACAGAGGCAAGATATTCAAATGCTCAGGGTCCTTCAGGCACTGCTGACCCCAACCCACTCACGCTCGCAGTTACAGGGCGCGTTTCTGCTGGGCCGTGTAGGCACAATGGAGCAAGTCAAGCACGAAGCCCTGCTCAGGCACCTTCCTTTCATTTTGAATTTCTTGCTTTTGTGGATTCAAGTCAGAACTTTATTTCCATGGTGCTAGGTTTAGTGACTTCAGCACCATTCAAAAGGAAAAAAATAATTCCCCCGCTGCTTCCTCTGCTACGGGCTTTCCCACGGAGAGCCCCAAGGTGCTCATATTCACATATACGTCTCAAATTCAATTTCTTTTGAGAGGGCATTCTTTTTTAAAAAGAAAGAATTCACTTCTAAGTTTCAGCATAAAACAACAAACAAAAGAAGACAAGCACTTTACCAATGCTTATGGTTTCATAGAGGTCAGTGAATTATTTAGACACGCTATGAATTATTCTGCAAATATATATATTTCTAGTTTTATAAAATTACAATTTCATATACCTACAAGCTCCTTCATGAGCAACAAAGCCATCAGAGGTGTGACGAGCCCAGCTAAGCTGTCCTTGGGAACTGAAAATGAGCAAAACTGTAATTTCTTTAGTTATTGTCATTTTGGAGAGACAGCCTGGTTAGAGAGCCTGGGGTTTTTTTCAAGTTTTAGCCCACATATTTTGCCCCTTTTTTTTTTTCCCCTTCGCTCTCTTTTTAAGCGCGGGCTTTTCAGAGGAGCCAGGGTACCTCACTCCCACAGCAAGGGGCGAGTGCCTCAGCCTTGGGCAGGAGAAGCCGCCGGCACCTGCCTGCCCGCCAGCCCAGCACCCTCCAGCTCTGGGGCTGTTGGGCACCTCTCGGCTCCTCTGTGGCCATGACTCATAAATCTGACATCCAGCCTATAAAAACCACCACCTCCCACCCTGCCCTGCCCCCCAAACAACAAAGTAATTGCTTTCCAAGCTGTCTTTTCCATTTTAAAGAGAGTTTTGTGGTCTCAAGGCAAGCCAGGACAGCTCTAGGAGGTGCAGCACCCACGGGTCTCACCCCAGGGCTCCTGCTGGGCCAGCGCCCCCCCACCCGACCAGCCCGAGGGCGACTCTACACTGGTGCCAGTCGCTGGGCTGCTGCCAAGAGGGTATCCACTGCAGCGCCTGGCTGAGCCTGCCTGAGCCCTGCCGTGGCCACGTGTTTTCCAAATGAAAAATGAAAAAAAAGAAAGTTTATTTCATAGTGGCTATACACTGACTTGTGCCAAACACTGTCAGGCGCATTTCTCTACCCATGCGTCCGATGGTTTATACTGACCTTTAGGAAAGAACTTACCACACTTTACTGCAGCACGCAGAAATTCAATTTGACGAATAAATGGTCCACAGGCAAGTACTGCACATCAAGGGACACTGACCAGTTGAGTATATTTGAGGAAAAATACTGGAAAAATGCCATTGATGCAAGGGTATTTTAAATGCTGCACAAAATGTTGAGAATTTTGTAACAATCTCCTGAAGCATGAACAGTGATCTAATGGAATGAACAACCTTTTTATTTTAAAATAATGTCAAAACACTTAGAAAACTGTGAGCAAGACATGTAGCACCATATTTTCCTCACATGTTAGTAACCGTTTGCAGTACGTACAACTGTATAAATGAACAGAACTACTTATAAAAAAAATTTCAGCTGGAACCAGATTCTAGCAGCAGATTAAAAATTACGAGTTGTTTTTTTTTTTGTGTTATATATTATTTTTCTGCCTTTACAAAATATTGTATTGTCCAATCAATAGTTTACTAAAAACCACGTTGTGCTTTGTCCCTATTAAAGAGTTTCTTTATGTGTTTCTGATGGAAAATAATAAAGTCTCTCTTTTTCAGTAATATGGAACATCCTAGAAAGCCATATTACTTCCATAAAAATTTAATTTAAAGCACAGAACACGCCGGTGTGCCAGTGGTAGGCTTAAAATATTAAGGATTTAAAAAAACAAACAGCAACCAACAAACCCCTAAGCATTTCCTTTCTGTACAATAATGGAGAATATATATCTTTGCTATATATTTTAAACATGGAATAGCTTTTTCTTTTTGCTATATATATGTCTTTCAAAATACATTGTCAGTATTTGTACTTGAAAAATACTGTACAAAACGAACATACTATAATTATTCTGTATAAACTTTATACATTTTATAATATCTATCCTTTTGGTCTATAGTAAACACTTAGATTGATTGGATTAACCACAGTATATGACAACACCATCCCCTTCTGAAATACACCAGTGTCTCTTACATTCATTTTTCAGAAGTCCACTTTATATTAGAACATACGTGTTCAAAAGCAAAGAGAGAGTTTAAAACAATAAAGTTCAGAACCATCAGTTCATGTCACACTCAAAACAACAATCACTAGGAAAAATGGGCTTTGCAAACCAGTGACAACTTCTAACTGAATAAAAGTGATTTTTAAAACAGCAAGATATAATCCACAGAAAATATATTACAAAACATGGGAAAAAACAACTGAATTTAGGTATTTATTTAATTTTTAATCACAAAAGGGAACTTGAAGAAATGCATAACTAACTGAAAACGGAAAAGCCCCTCTGATTTTGACATCAGATCTGATTTGATACCATTATTTTTGTTCTCATTTCAACTAATTATCCTGCTTCGTATACATGCGCTCCCTCTGGCAGGGACACAATTAGCATGCTCACATTAATGTGTCTTTTACTTTTTAACTTTTTGTTAAAGACATTAAAACTCCTGTTGGGTAGGGAAACCATCCTACGTCCACTAGGAACATCCGGGCAGCATGCGCGCTAGCGTACAATAGGATTATTGCTTCAGGTACAGACAGTGCAAAATACACACCCTGCGGTCTAGGGAGAGTCCTGCTACCTACCCGGGGTCTGGGGACACACGGGAACCTTAACAGCTACAGAGAAGCCATGAGGGGATCTAGAATGAGTACAGCTAACTCAGTCTAACAGCACTTTAAATCTGAAGACAATTATCACCAAAACTTAAAATACAACAAAAGCAATCTATAAATTAATATTTCTGCAGTGTAGTACTAAATTATTATTTGTGCACTTTATTAGCATGTTTACTTTTCTGATTAGACATACTTAAACAATAGCTTGTTACTCTTGAAAAAACTGAGATCTACTTTTTTTTCTTTTTTCTTTTTTTTTTTTTTTCCTTTTTTTATAATTTATACTGGGATCTTTCCAAGTAAATCAGGAGGATGGAACTGGTTACAATAACATAAAAACCCTACTCTGAAGCAGCACTGAAAAAATATAATAAAAAGCTTACTATGGCGGTTCTCAACAGTCCAGGTAAAAATGTGGCACCCTTTGAAGAGGGCTTCATAAAAATGGGAAGTGCTGAGATGCGTGCGCACACACACACACACACACACACATACACAGACGTGTGACCACACGTGCACACATACGCAGGTACACGCATACGCAAACAAAAAAAAAAATAACGTAAGTCAGTTTTGTTTCTGCTTCTGGTAAAGTGCTGAAGACAGAAAGGTTGGTTTGGGCGTGGTGCTATCAAACAGGAAACACATTGTCCATCTATTCAAATGCCAACCCGCAACAAAAAAAAAAAAAAAAAAAAAAAAAAGGAAAAAAGAAAAAAAACCCCACTCCCCCCCTTGAATTTACAGGGGGCCGTGTCGAGCTTCGTACTTTGCAAGGACGTTCTTGCATTTGCCCAGCTCTTTCCGTAAGTCAGCCACCTCTTGGCGGAGAGCCGAGTTCTCCTTCTCCAGGAAGGAGGCGCGGATGGCGATCTGGTTCTCCTTCAGCCGGCGGGCATCCCTCGATCGCTTAGCAGCCATGTTGTTCTTTCTACGCCTTGCCCAGTATTTGTCATCCTGCTCATTAAACACAGAAGGAAACAAAGCAGATATTAGATTTCAGTAAGCTGAGCAGCCGGCAGGATGTGCTCTTAGCCACAGCCTCCGGACGGGCGAAGACTGAACTCCGCACGCTTTGCTTGCCTGGCCCAGCCAGCCCCGACAGGGCCAGGCACTGCTGGGACAAACCTTACAGATTTACACGGCATAGCGCATCCAGGGAGCACAGATGCCTGCACATGTTTCTGTCAAAATGTTTACGCTAACCCCCTCATCCTCTTGACTGTGAATTCCTCCAAGGAAAAATGAAGCCATATTCCGGTGGTACAATTCATCTCACATCTACGCTGACCCAGTTAGCACATCCACCTTCGCATCTGGTGACTCACTCTCTACCCATTGCTGGAGCAGTACTAATTACTTCTTGTATGGCTCTGCTCCTCCTCCTCCTCTTTGCCAGCCAACACCTGGTTCGTTCACTCTGTTGGTGTGATCCATCTCGCCTACCATTCAGCTCTTTCTCTCTGTCGAAAGCTCTTTCTCTACAGAGCCCCAGAGCGTTCCTGTTTGCACCCTAGAACAGCAAGGCGCTGGGAGAGGATTCCTTGGCACAACAACGATGGCTGCTTTGGTACCATCTGCAGAGAGATTAGTACAATAGGCTTTGACCGTAAAAAAAAAAAAGCGTTTGCCAGAAATAGTTCCACTAACCTCTGAAGTTTCATAAGCTCACACATTCCCAAAGTGTTATCCCTAAAGACTTGCCCCTAGGAGCTTACTTTAACTGCATTGATGCATCAAAGGACCTAAGTAATTACTTAATTTTACCTGATTTTTCCACTCCTCCAATGAAGTGGCTTTCCGTGAAATGGCAGCTCCAATGTTGCTTTGAAATTTAATTGAGTTCTAGAAATTTGGAACAACTCAGTACAAACAAAGTGGGCAGAATCTCTCATGCAAAGTGAATTTCAGTCCCTTGCAGAGTAAGAGTGGTGCAGCCATTCAACCCTCAAACTGCCTGGTCAGTCATATAGCTCAAACTTCCCCTCCCAGAGTTGTCTCCCCATTTTTACAGGCTTCCACTTGTTTGTCTGCCTCTCTTGTTTCACCAAGCCCGGCAGCGTATCCCCTAGGAGGCAGAGCAGCCACCCGCCCCATCGCTGCTCTGTCTTTCAGCACGAAGCATGCCAGGCCAAATACTGCCGCTCCGCATCTTCTCCTGTTGCTTGAATAAGGCAAAACAAGAGCAAACAACTGCTAGAAGTACTCTAGAACTGCGTTCTATTAGTTTAGCTTAACAAGGTGTGCAGCAACATTAATTTGGAGCCAGCATATCTTTAAATTGCTCTTCACCTGTACTTAGATGGGACCCCCAAAAATCCGCTTAAAAATAGGCAAGCAGCAAAAAGCTATGACCCAAATCTTGTCATAATTTCCCATCTCATTCCACACCATAGAAATCAGCTTTAAGCAATTTATTAGTGTGCCACCTAGGCTTCATCCCTCTTTATTTTAACAAATTGCTATGGCAAATCTCTTAATCCAGACCCGAAAGAGGTAAGGCTGGCATTTCAAAATCACATGCAACCCAGAGACGATTGACTGGTCTAATCTGCTTACCCTCCCCCAGAACTCAACAGCCGTTCCACATGCCAGGGCAGAAGCAGCACTTGGGTCAAGTGCTCTGAAACGAGTCAAGGACAACTGATGTGATATCTCAGGGAAATGAGAGACCCTGAACATTCAAGTCTTAGGCTGAAAACTTATGTGTCCCACTGCTGCATGCAAGACACTGGTATTTCCACCTCTGGCATGGAGTAGTCCAACAGCATCTTTGCCAAAAGTGTGCTTTGGCAAACAAGGATACGTATGAGGTATCACAAAATGCTGAAAGGCACTAAGGAGCAAACTCCAGTTTCCTTACACCCATGCAGCCACCGCTGTATCAAACACTTCTCTTTACGCAGACCTCAGCACTCTGCAGTGCCCGCAAAGCACCACTGGCAGTAAAATCTGCCCAGGTAAGTAATGGCAACATGCAGATCAACCTTTCCAAACACTTTCTAAACAAAAGCTGAGGATGCTACAAACAAAGTGACAGCAACGCATCCCCTGAACACTACTGGAATTGTGATTTGTGTACTTTTAACTTGCACAACAGTAAAACAGCGAATAGCATCAGCTTCTTTCCCTAATGCTATCAATCTGGTGTGAACACGTGCCATCCCAGTCTCTCTGTATGCGCAGCCAGGGTTTCCCACCAACTCCAACAGACTTTCAGTCTGTGTCTTGGGGGGCAGTAGCAACACTGGAAGGAAATTCTGCACTCACTAACTCTGGTAAGAAAGATCCTCTTGGAAATCACACACTGGGAATAGAATTTTGCAAATAATGTCAATTTTCACAGTTGTTTGCGAAGCTGAATCAGTTCCTTAATTTGTCCTGCTCTCTTCATACTCTTTCCTCTTTACATCTCAGAAAGCAGCGAGAGACATAGACAAGGGTGCTTTTTAGATATTGTAGTAGTAGTGGTATTATAATGTATTTTAAATATTGTATTAAAATACACCTCTCAGCAGAATAATTTTGTTCTGTTTTCCTACAACTAGTGCAGATTCTTTCACCCAGATCAGAAGTGTTTACTATAGTGTTCTCATTCATTATTAAACACAGAGCTAAAGCAACTTCCAAACAAGACACAATATACTTAATTTCATCATTATCAGGGACCTCCATGGACCCTGTAAGAGACAGATTCTTCCTTGAAGAATTCACAATCTGTGCCGAAAAGACAGACAGAGAATGGAGGAAAAAGAAACATGATCAGAGTGTTTCGTAAGTGGAAAATATAGGACAAAGTAAGCTTGTCCAGGGTCACACAGGAAGTTTATGTCATATAAAGGAAATGAATATTGATCTCATGAATTTCAACTGTTGCATAACTAATCAGGGACATCCTCCCCTCAAGTCTTATTCAGACCCATTAACAGTTTTATTCTACAACAAAGTCATATTTAGCTGGGCAGATTTACCTTACATGAGAAAACAGATTCATGCTCCAAACCTGTATCTCAGAAAGTAACTGTCATAGTCTGTAGGAACAACCTTGTCACCAGTTCCAATTTACCTTCAGGTCATCTGGAATGAAGACTTTGCGAGCTTTCTTAATCATCGGCTGTGGTTTCAGCTCTTCTTCAGAGAATTTGCGCTTACGAGGGTCAAACATCTCCTGGCCAGGAATACTGGAAAGAGCAAGATCTGCAGGGTCAGGTTCGTAGCCAACAGGAACTTGGATAGTCTCAGGATCAATGGGACTTGGTGTGTTTCGGTTTGCTGGCAAGATCTGACCTACAGAAATAAAGGATAAATTCAGCTATGTATGTTAGAAGAAATTATAACAATAATGACACTAAACATGGATTTTAGAAATCTCTAAAAGCGGCAATTCTTTAAGCTTGCACCGCAAATTTGGCATCTACTCTTGCTAAATATTAGCTTGTCCGTTTCATAGGGTGCAAATGCAGATCCAGACTTGCTCGTGCCATTATTTTCAGAATGGGTTCCTAAGTCTGATTGCTAATCTTGGATGCCCACGTAAGATCACTGACTGCAACACGGAGTTGCGCTAGACTGCAGGCAGAAGGCGCAATGCTTCAACCCGCGCCACTTCATTAAGATCCCATCCTCGGGAACAAATCATAACTACTGTCTTTTAGCTCCAACTTATCCACCACACTGTAATCCTTCCCAGTTTCCTCACACACAGATTTCTTCATATTTTGTACTTTGAGGGTACATTTAGTTTACAATCAAACAGCGTATAGTATAATATCGCATGAAAATGTACTGTCAAACTGTGCTGAAGCACTTCTATGAAATCCTACTGGTGATACTCTAACAGACAGTGAAGGAAAGTAGCAACGCGAAAGGCTGCAATGACAACTTGCTCTGCAAAAATGAAAGAACACATATTTATGCCACATTGCTCTCTTATGGTATATAAAATCTAATAAAAAGGAGCCTATCTGGAGAAAATAATTATATCCCCCCCATTTTTCTTTTTTAATCTTAGATATAGCCTTCAAGATCCTACAGCACCAATTCAGGCACCATTTCCACTAAAAATCCAATTTAATAACTCAACTAAAGGTTCCAAAAATAGGATCCTAAAGTCAGCTGCCTAAACACGGACTATCCCCAGGGGCAGAATTTTCAGAAGTTTTCACATGCCTCAGAAGTACAAGCCTCACAGACTTGAGAAGGAGGACTTCTGATTGAAGCAGATAATCTTTTATAATTTTGGCTATTAGCTAATTCATTTTGACTTTAGAGATACAACAGCTTTCATAACTACTACACAAACATCCTGTGACTGCATAGTATTTCCACATTTGTGCCTGCATCTGCAATATTTAAGGTGTAAAATGGTAAATGTTAAATGTAATTTCTAATTCCAAACAAAGGGCGGTGTTAACAACGTAGTTTTTATTTTAATCTAGATGGTCGTGGCAACTATATTGGGACTACATGAAAAATGCACTGGGGAATTGCATTGCACAGATCAGGACTTCCTAACAAAGAGCTTGTCTTTTGTAACTTCTATTTTAAAACAGCACTGATAAAATCAGCTTTCAGAAAAGGCTAGTAAGGGCCTGGGAGAAGTGAAAAGGAGGATCACAATGATTAGAGTGTATATACATCTATAGGAGAGGGAGCAAGAGGAAAGGATCCTGCTGTCCACACCGCACAAACAGCTGAGCGCTTCCTCCTCTGCCCCCGGCCCGACGCTGCCAAGAGCCTCACGTTTTCTGCTGCGCCTCGGCAATAAAATCGGAAACCACGGGCCTGCCCGGCTGCCGGCCCGGCTCTGCCCCCACCCGCCCGGCCTCGCGGCGTGGGACGGGACGGGGGCGCGTTCCCCAGCCCACGCCCCGCGTGCTCGGGCCAGCGGAGCGGCATCGCAGGGGGAGGCGAGGGGAGAGCCTGCCGGGCTGTGTCTGCGTGGCGGGGTTTGACATCCCCCCCGCGGCCAGCCGCGATGAACGCACGCGTGTTTACAACTGCTGTGGGTCTGCCAAGGCGGTGGCGGGGGGAGACCCTGGCCAGGAACTCATTTAAAGCCATTCCCCAGGGCTCGGGGCACCAAGGCATTCTTGGAGCCTTGCTTTAAATGGATGGCTAATCTCATTTCAGATAGATGGGCTGGCAGAAACAGGCTTATTTAAAGGCTTAAATGCAGGAAAGCTTCCTTTGATGTGCATATGCTTGTGCCAGAGCAGCCAGGTATCGTTTTAAAGCAGACAAATACATAGACATACACATGTACAAATCTTGCAAATTCTGTAATACAGATAAAAATGAAGCAAGATGCTAGCTTTTATAATATTTCTGGTGAGCATGCAGGGTGTTTCTAAAAGTCAAGTGGATTGTGAAATCTGTCCCAGCTTTCTAATTGCCCTAAACAAAGGAGCCTGTATTTAAATATTGCTGAAGTTCCAGATAGACAGTATCAGTTTACATATCATTTATCTATAATGTGTCATATTACACAACTACTTGAACTTTGTAACCACTGGCCTCAAGAAATTTTACAGTATCTCTCTGAAAAAGGAAAGGGCAAAAATGCTCCTTTTAAATACGGGAAATCGAGACGCTGCATCTTACCAGTGCAATAGCTAAATAAAGGAAAGAGTGATGTACCTCGAGGTGATTTGGGAGAAGAACGTACAGCAATCCAGATCCTGCCTCGCTCCCCACATGCACACGTTTCACCTCCCCTGGTCTAAGGAGCTCTCACTACTGAAGACCTGGCCCTTCAGCAAAGACAAAATGTCCCAGGTGCCAATGAAAAGCTCATTCAAGGTGAATGCTATTCACTAATGCAAAGCCTGAACAAATCATGTACACAGCTAAACATTATCACCTAGGAGCCTGAAGACTATTGCCCTGTAAGATATTCCCACCTGCACACTGCACACACACCTCTCAGTCCACAGGGGCTGACTCCCCGTTCTGTCACGCTCCTGTAAGTGATCAGGAACTCAGCTGAGAACAACAGGGTTAATAAGGGTGTCTAAAACCCCACATAGAAAAAGCAGTATTTCCTTGTCCAGAGTTTTATGTTAGGCAACTCCTGGCACTTGGTATCTTTTTATTTATTCTATCAAGTTTTGCCAATAATACAAGCCAGGAACCTGTCTTCATTAGTTTACTGGCTCATGGCCATTATGTGGGGCTGGAACTCGTCGTAACCCAAGACGACGGCGTGGGCTGTGCTGGACTTGGCACTGCTCTTACTGCAGGAGTACAGTATGTGGCCGCACGTTACATTGCTCTCCAAGCTCCTCTCCCTGTGTGTGCATGGCACTTTAGCTGTGCATCCTTCTGCCAAATTTGTTCAGGGTGTTATTTTTATGCACTAAATTCCTCGCAATCAGAGGTAGGTCAAATAAGCACAGCAATCTGAATGTCATGTGCCCAGCAGCCAACTAATCCTCACATCAGCAAGCTTCACAGCTGTCACAACATCCAGAGAAAGATCCAGTCAGAGGCTGCGATGCACAAGGAATCAGCCAAGAAGGAAGCCAACACCAGCAGCCACCAAGGCCAGGCGAAGGTAAAGCACCTCACAAGCTCAGCATCGGGAGCCAGATGCCTTTGTTGCCAGTCTCTCTATTATTTCAGTGCTCTGCGCTCACAACAGCGGCCAAATTTTCACAACAGTGAAGTGGCTGGACCGTTTCATGCCCTTAGCTTTGTTCTCAATGGGGGCTGACAATTGCCAAGTGTTTTGGAAAGAACCTAGCCCCTCTATTTAAGTTGCTGAAATGAGAGCTCTTGAGCATCGAGCTCTTTTGGAAATCCAGCTGCAAAACTCCACGGTGGTGGTGGATGCAAGCTGGGAACAATGGTTAATGGAAACTTCCCCTCATACCACCCTAGTGATGTGTCTCAACCATGGCCTGAAGAGACCACAACTATGTCAACACTGGCCTTTTGTCTGGAGACTTTCCCACTTGTAAGAGCTCCACTCAAGCAACACTGAGTATGCCAGGACAGACACAGCCCCAGGTGTCTCCTGGCAAAGAAACCAGCAGGTTTTGACAACCCCAGCGGTTATGGCTGCGCTGCCCCAACATCTTGCCTTTGCTAATGCTCTTGGTGTTGCTCTGGCAGATATTAGCAAGTGGAAAATTTTCCAGAAAGAATGAATTGAAAGAAAATTGGCTGTTCTTGCCCTTTCAAGTCCTCCTCCTCCCAGCAGAGACTGCCAGTGAGGAAGTCCAACGTAATGGCAGTATTTTCAGTGTGGTTCCTTGTTCAAAGAGAAATGGACTGAGGCCATTCACTTGTGTCATCCAGGTCCCCAAATGGCTGCTAAAAAAAAAATAGTGGCTTTTAATTGCTCGTAATAATTAAAATTCACAACTCGAAAGTACAGTATCATTTTTATACACCTACAAAACCAAAATGCTGATCTGGTATCGTGGGGAGCTCAATCACTGTATCCCAACTCTTAATTTCCCCCTTCTGAAACATCCCACCTACCAGCTGTGCCTGAGAGAGTTAAGACGGAAATAACCTCTTCAACTGCACCACTGCTTGACAGACTACTTATCTGTATTGCAAGAGATCCTCGGTGAATTATGTGCAACTCAATTTTGAATCATTCAACTCCCATAGAAATGTGCCTGGTTTTCAGAAAATCTCCCTTCTCACAGCCCTTCCACACTTTTCATCAGCTCAACTCAGCTGTTCTCAGTCTGGAGAACAGCAACAAGAAAAAGAAAAGGGAGCGGAAATGTTTGAATCAAAATATTTTCCCCTATTTTTTACACATATATTGGAAGGAAAGAAAAGAGGAGTTTCTCCTTCGATTTATTAGCAGCCCAGAGATAAAATATGTGTTTGCTACTCATTTTTCCTTATATAAACTAAAGGCACTTTGGGTATGTCAGTCAGACTATGTAGTAGAGCACTTAAATTGACAGATAATCCTCACCCAGAGCTGCTCCAGAGAACCCCATTGCTCTGCTGATATGTTTTCCAAATTATCTATCCGCTTGGCAGCTGGCCAGCTATTTGGGATAGCTCTCTTACTCCAGATCACAGCCTGCCCCAGACTAATCTGTCATCTATTTCTGCATTAACCCCTTCAGCCTCTAGGAAAAGTCACCTCAATGCAGAACACAAGGCAGTGGGCGGGAATTGAGACAGGCAAAAATCCCCACAGGCAGTGAAGTAAAAGGAGCATTCTCTAGAGACAGTGTTTCATCAGACTGTAATTCCTCAGTTACAGTATTATAAGCATCATCTAATTTCCTTACTGTTAGTATTTTAGTGTCTTC